AGTGTATGTTGTTTGTGCATGTGGTTAGTGTATGTTGTTTGTGTATGTGGTTAGTGTACGTTATTAGTGCATGTTATTAGGAAATGTTTTAGTGTATGTTGTTAGTGTATGTTGTTAGTGTATGTTNCGTAACACTGTAATATCTGATTGTTTTATTAGCTCCGTAACACTGTAATATCTGATTGTTTTATTAGCTCCGTAACACTGTAATATCTGATTGTTTTATTAGCTCCGTAACACTGTAATATCTGATTGTTTTATTAGCTCCGTAACACTGTAATATCTGATTGTTTTATTAGCTCCGTAACACTGTAATATCTGATTGTTTTATTAGCTCCGTAACACTGTAATATCTGATTGTTTTATTAGCTCCGTAACACTGTAATATCTGATTGTTTTATTAGCTCCGTAACACTGTAATATCTGATTGTTTTATTAGCTCCGTAACACTGTAATATCTGATTGTTTTATTAGCTCCGTAACACTGTAATATCTGATTGTTTTATTAGCTCCGTAACACTGTAATATCTGATTGTTTTATTAGCTCCGTAACACTGTAATATCTGATTGTTTTATTAGCTCCGTAACACTGTAATATCTGATTGTTTTATTAGCTCCGTAACACTGTAATATCTGATTGTTTTATTAGCTCCGTAACACTGTAATATCTGATTGTTTTATTAGCTCCGTAACACTGTAATATCTGATTGTTTTATTAGCTCCGTAACACTGTAATATCTGATTGTTTTATTAGCTCCGTAACACTGTAATATCTGATTGTTTTATTAGCTCCGTAACACTGTAATATCTGATTGTTTTATTAGCTCCGTAACACTGTAATATCTGATTGTTTTATTAGCTCCGTAACACTGTAATATCTGATTGTTTTATTAGCTCCGTAACACTGTAATATCTGATTGTTTTATTAGCTCCGTAACACTGTAATATCTGATTGTTTTATTAGCTCCGTAACACTGTAATATCTGATTGTTTTATTAGCTCCGTAACACTGTAATATCTGATTGTTTTATTAGCTCCGTAACACTGTAATATCTGATTGTTTTATTAGCTCCGTAACACTGTAATATCTGATTGTTTTATTAGCTCCGTAACACTGTAATATCTGATTGTTTTATTAGCTCCGTAACACTGTAATATCTGATTGTTTTATTAGCTCCGTAACACTGTAATATCTGATTGTTTTATTAGCTCCGTAACACTGTAATATCTGATTGTTTTATTAGCTCCGTAACACTGTAATATCTGATTGTTTTATTAGCTCCGTAACACTGTAATATCTGATTGTTTTATTAGCTCCGTAACACTGTAATATCTGATTGTTTTATTAGCTCCGTAACACTGTAATATCTGATTGTTTTATTAGCTCCGTAACACTGTAATATCTGATTGTTTTATTAGCTCCGTAACACTGTAATATCTGATTGTTTTATTAGCTCCGTAACACTGTAATATCTGATTGTTTTATTAGCTCCGTAACACTGTAATATCTGATTGTTTTATTAGCTCCGTAACACTGTAATATCTGATTGTTTTATTAGCTCCGTAACACTGTAATATCTGATTGTTTTATTAGCTCCGTAACACTGTAATATCTGATTGTTTTATTAGCTCCGTAACACTGTAATATCTGATTGTTTTATTAGCTCCGTAACACTGTAATATCTGATTGTTTTATTAGCTCCCTAACACTGTAATATCTGATTGTTTTATTAGCTCCCTAACACTGTAATATCTGATTGTTTTATTAGCTCCGTAACACTGTAATATCTGATTGTTTTATTAGCTCCCTAACACTGTAATATCTCATTGTTTTATTAGCTCCCTAACACTGTAATATCTGATTGTTTTATTAGCTCCCTAACACTGTAATATCTGATTGTTTTATTTTTGTATGTCAAAAACGGAAAGTAGCTGTCCGAGTTGAATCATCCAATGCATCTTGCTTCTTTAACAAAATAACTAAAACATCATGCTATTTAAGAGCAATTAGATCATAAGTTGTTGGGGTTCACTTTTAATGTTTTCTAATGTAGCTTTATATGTATATGTTACATATCTATCTTACATATCTATCTATCTATCTATCTATCTATCTATCTATCTATCTATCTATCTATCTATCTATCTATCTATCTATCTATCTATCTATCTATCTATCTATCTATCTATCTATCTATCTATCTATCTATCTATCTATCTATCTATCTATCTATCTATCTATCTATCTATCTATCTATCTATCTATATATCTATATATCTATCTCTCTCTCTCTCTCTCTCTATATATATATATATATATATATATATATATTGAGGAGCAGATTGTCTACCAACAGTATATTATCTTCGTTAAGGGCGGGTGTTGTAAGAGACATTTATCCGCCACATGCAAACAGCAAACCATAGCTGAGCCACTGTTTTCACAGCTTTTTAAATCTCTTTTGTTGTAAGTATCCCATTATGTCTTACCATTCATTTCCAAGTGTCATTCATTATCATATGTTTGCAAAGCCTGCTCTTAAATTAGTCAACCATTTGGGAATTTTATAAATTAACTTAACGGAAGAATCCACTTTCGTATTCAGCCTTTGGAGTATCAAAGTATGTCCGCTAACTAGGTCTGCTTAATTTCAAATGATTCAAAAGTGTTTAGAAGTTGGCCCACTGACTGGTTCTGCCTAAGGATCCCTAAGTATTAACAATTAGGTCCATTGACTGGCTTTGTTTAAGGATCGCAAAGTATTAACAAGTATGTCCATTGGCTCGCCCTGCTTAAGGATCCCTAAGTATTAGAAAGTATGTCTATTGACCGTATCTGCTTAAGGATCCCTAAGTATTAAAAAGTATTCCATTGACTTGCTCTGCTTAAGGATCCCTAAGAATTAAAACGTATCTCAACTGATTGTCTCTCCTTAAGGGTCCATAGTTTTAATCATGTTGATCTCTTTTATGGTGACACCGTGAGTGTCTTCGCTACATTGCGCAATTAGTGTTTCTGTTTAACTTATTTCGTTGCAGTATTGTTTTAACCATTCTGTGACGGCGGAATGGCAACATATTAAACCCTTCGTATTGACACTTATGCTAAGGTATTTCAATGTGTACACAGTTTATTTGCCCGGGCATATATGCAAATGCTTTTAAAGTGGCACTTGTGAATATGTTAATTATTTGGTATCTTAAAATATATGTATTTGAATTTAGATGAATGTTCGCGAAATAAGATAATATAATGAATGTTATTGTGTATCTACATTTCAGTAAAGTCGTCCCCACAAGGTCGAAATCTTTTTTTATTTAAAGGCCAAATGTCAACATGTTGGATTACTAATGCTTTCACTAAAAGTAATCCGATGACCTCTTTTCGATTACGTCCCATTGGAGATGTCGTCGGTGAGTCGTCGTCGAGCGCGAGATCATAATCCCCCCCCCCCCCCCCCCCCCCCCCCCCCCCCCCC